GGCGCCCCGATATTGCCCTTTTTAAAAGCTGTAATGATCAGGGGCAGCTGGGCGGCTCAGTCAATTGAGTATCTGACTATTGACTTTGGCTCAGGTCAATACTCATGGGATCAAGCCCCACGACTTAGCATGGAGCCTGCTTAAGATTCTCTTTCTCCCAGACAAATATCACATGACTTCACTCATATAAGGACTTTAAGAGACAAAACAGATGAACATAAGGAAAGGGAAACAAAAATAATATAAAAACAAGGAGGGGGACAGAGCAGAAGAAACTCAAATATGGAGGACAAACAGAGGGTTACTGGAGGGGTTGTGGGGGGGGGGGGGGGAACTCAGTGGATAAGGGGCATTAAGGAATCTACTCCTGAAATCATTGTTGCACTAGATGCTAACTAATTTGGATGTAAATTTAAAAAAATAAAATTAAAAAATAAATAAGTAAAAATAAATAAAATTTATTATACAAAGAAAAAAAAAAAGATTCTCTTTCTCCCTGTGTCCCTCTCCCCCTGCTCATACTCTCATTGTCTCTCTAAAAAATAAATAAAAATAAATAAAAATAAAAGCTGTAAAGCTCAGAAAATGTCCTCATTTAGGCCTACAGTCTACATCATCCCTTAATTAACTCGGTAAAGTCCGTTTTTAACATTCACTACCAATGATTTCATACCAGATGAAACCAGGTCCTGAACAAACCACAGGGGTAGTAAATAGCTCGGTGAAGAGGAAAGAATAAGGCCAACTGGACGTTACTGTACATGAGCCATGAAGCCATGTGCTTTAATTCTCATTCAGGCATCCCTCAAGGCAGCCTGAATGACTTATATCAAAACGTATGAAAATAACATTACTCAGTATCAGACAAGCAGGAGCTATTATATAAACATAACCAAAAAGCACACAAATCTATCAACTTCTATTTCCAGAAAAAAACACTAATTTAAGAAATAGACGGCACTCTCATTTATTATAAGCATAGGCCATGATACAAAAACCTCTCTCTAAACTAAATTGACGCGTTTAAAACCTTCAAGACTTCCACGGAAATTTACACAGGATGCTCATTCTTGGATATCTCCCCAGAACGTTCCCTCCGAGAAGGTAAAAGACACTTAACTTTTACCGAGTGCTGCCTGACCTGAGCTTGTGTCTTCTGCACATTAAATCTCACGAGTAAGAGATATTTCTCTGGGTAAGAAAACTGTTAGGATTAGTAACTACTGACAGCACTTCTAGATGTGGGGGTGGGGGAGGGGTAAGAGTTGCCTATTTTTTTCAAGTGTCGATTTATTGTTGTGTCTTTGGGTAACTATTTTAACATCATCATCTGCGTCTAGTTAACTCTAAAATAGTACTGACAGAGTCAACTTCCCTTCAGACCACTTAACTCCACTAGTCTTCCACGGCCCTAAAGCTATAAATCCCAATGGAAAATGCATGACCCAGGGGAACCGGGTGAGAGACAAGGATGAAAACTCACTGAGGAGGAAGAGGCATCAAAACGCATGATTAGTAAGAAGTAACATCATCACTTTTTTCAAAAAGCCCATTTTCTGTGTGGGGATGGGGTAAATGGGTGATGGGCGTTAAGGAGGGCACTTTTTGGGATGAGCGCTGGGTGTCATATGTAAGAGATCAATCAATCACTGGGTTCTACTCCTGAAGCCAAGACCACACTGTATGTCGACTAACTTGAATTTAAATTAAAATCATCATCATCGTCATGTGTTAACTAAATGAATATTACTCACAAACCAAGATAGGTACTTACATGAGGCATAAGGCATGCAGTGTCTGCTTAATAAATGTCTGATGGGGGCGCCTGGGTGGCTCAGTCGGTTAAGCGGCCGACTTTGGCTCAGGTCATGATCTCGCGGTCCGTGGGTTGGAGCCCCATGTCGGGCTCTGTGCTGACAGCTCAGAGCCTGGAGCCTGTTTCAGATTCTGTGTCTCCCTCTCTCTCTGACCCTCCCCCATTCATGCTCTGTCTCTCTCTGTCTCAAAAATAAATAAACGTTAAAAAAAAAATTAAAAAAAAAAATAAATGTCTGATGCATGCAAAAGCAAAAGCCCGTTTTCTTAGCATTATGAACACTCACATCACATTACTAGTAGATACTGACTTGCACTACCATTCACAGGCACTAAAAATAACTTCAGTTGATACTTTATAATGATAATAACAAGCATACCAAAACATACTTCGTCACGTTCAAGCTTTTCAAATGCTTTCTCTCACAAGAGCTTACAGTAGGATTCTTTCAATCAATTAAGATGTCACACAAAGTCGATCTTCAGCAAGCATACTGCACCTCAACGAAATCTACCACGGTGGTTAAGTGACCACCAAAACAGAGGTGAAAGACAGCCTCGAAATTCCTGCTCTTACCTACCTATTTACTTAGCTTCCCCTTAGTAGTAGTCTCAGACTTTTCTGTAGTATAAACTGCCCCATGAATTTGAGCCAATGACTGCTTAAACATAATATAGCTTCTTCCTGTATGGTGAGAACAGATAAACACCACATAAAAATTCATAAGCTTCAGGCAGACTTGTCAACTCAGTGAACGAAAGAGAAACAACCCACCAATAACAGATTACAATCATAACTCGTTTCGACTGAGTCTATTCCAAATATCTGCTCACAATTAGAAAACTTGCTCTTTCCAAATATTCGGTCCTCTCTTTTTGGCTACTTTACCCGTAACCCGAGTCCCATGAAAGGATATGAAATGGTCACTTCAAAAGGAGAAGTGAGGAAACACAACACTATCTCCGAGTTCAAGGATGCTCCTTTTCACAAAAACTCAACTTCTAAGTTCTTCTTAATGACACTGCCTTTGCTTATGCATGAAGCTGAGGAACTATTTAAGCACTGCACCCTACTATTCATCGTAACGGCACAATTACACTCGTTGTTTCTCACTTCTTTCCAAACTACCCAAGAGATCGTCAACAGAAGTGGAACATACCAACTTTGATTTCGACCACTGCTTCTTAAACGTTTATTGAAAAAGATAAACAAACCCGATGGTCACGTTAGTACTTCCCCACCTTTTCTATTTCGTGGCACCCATGAAAAATCAGGCTTATAAGGAGTGTGGGGTAAATTCCTGAAACCCCAGGGGGTCAGAGGCTACCAGCCAAGCCAGCACCCTGAGCTTAGACTACTACACGGCCGCCCGAGAGCTCAGAGGGGTGAGGACTTTGACATACCTGAAACTCCCTCACGCCAGTTCAGAGCTCCCACAACACCGGCTGAGATGTTCACCGCTACATTTTTGGCCTATTTAGCATATCCCCACTTTTACTGCCAGGAAACTGTTTTTCTTTTGGGGGATCATCCCACCCTCAATCCACATGATCACGGTGGCATTCAGGATTGACCCTTCACCCACTTCCATTCTACTTAGGATGGCCAATTAAAGTGCCCCATTATCCTGCCACAGTGGTTGATTCAGTACGGGCACACGACCCAACGAGGTCAATCCAAACACCTCTACGTCTCTCTCTTCCTTTTGGGCTATGAATATAAGGTTATAAGGCTTCGGGCTTCCAGCCAATTCACAGAGGAAACAAAGAAACTCTACCATGGGTATACCGTCTAGGTCATGCTTTTTCTCAATTCTGGAGCTAATAAAAACTATTTAAGACAGACGTGTCGCCATTACTTATAACCAAAAATGTCACCCTAGAATTTCAAAGACCCAAGCATTTCCTGATAATCAACACAGAATTTGATGTAATAGATGTTTTACATCAGTGGCATACACAGGTCAGGTAACCTACCACAGGACTTCTTTAGATAGTCTCCAGGCATTATCTGTGCATTAACTATTATAAAGATATTATCTTATAAGGTGTGAGCACTGAAACAACACATCTATTAGAAGCACAATCGCTACAGCATGTAAAGGGAGAAATAAAGTAGGAAGCAAATTGAAATGACTCACATTATGCACACACCAGGACACAAAGGTACTTTGAGACCATCACAAATCCACTTGGAAACATCAGACCACAAGAGGTCTAGTCCAAAGGAAAACTTTTTATAGATAGATCAATGGTTCCTCACTTGACTAAAAAGAATGAGCATAACAAGCTGGGAATAAAAAGAATCCAAATACATTCACTTCGTATCTTAATCACTTTTATCCTGTCTCTATCAACTGAATTTTGTCCTGTAGGAAACACACATTTTCCATAAAGAGATGAACTTTTTCTTCACCATGTTTAAAAAGAAGCATCAGCACAGATACTAATAAACAGAATAATAAAAATACCATGCCTATATGGTTAGGAAGCCTTTCCCTTCAAAGGAAGTTAGTTCTTGAGAGTCTATCCAATGGGAAAAAGTTAGATTACTTTACCAAGGATAAGGTTAGTTACAAAAGGTAGACGGGGGGCGGGGGGAGTCTTATTAACGTCTAAGACTAGACAATGCTGCTGGTTACGCTCCAAGATCTGTGCAGATAGGAAGAATCCCACCATGTTGATCATTATCATAGATAGCAAGAACTATTTTTTAGCTTATTAAGGGACTGAATCAAGACAGAATCAAATTGCCAGAAGTCAAAAAGAGATCGATGCCTACTGCATAGGTACCTTTATCCTAAATTGATTAATCTGCATCCACTTTAAAAGATCAATATTAGAACTAAGGGATATTCATCTGGGAACAGGCCGCAAGAGTTAACAAAAGTGTTGCAGATTAGCCAATCTACCAAAAAACAATAATACCACAATAGCATCACGTGTAGATTTCAGTGTCAAGTGTGTTTTCATGAAGGAAACGCGTGCATCGTTAAGCATACATCAATTCAGTGTAAGGACAAAAATGAACAAATTGAGAAGATAAAGATAGCCCACCATCCTAAACAAAGGAATCAACCCATAATTTAAAACTTTGATAAGAATCATCCACGAACTAAGAAAAATCGACAATTCCAACAGTTAAGCTTTACTCCTATTACTGTCCCATTATTTTCTTACTTTACCTGAGAGGAATCTGCTTGGGCCAATTCTGTAGTGACCTTCAGTATTTGGCGAAGATTTTGTCCTTGATCTTCAACAAGGAGGTGAGCCAACAAAAGAAAAACATGCGCAGGGATTACTGTGGTTATAGGGAGCAAGGACTCTACGGAAAACAACCAGTCACTTGCAGCAGACTTTTCTCTCATTACTTCGAGGATCCTCCAGGCTGTAAATATTGATCCATACATGCCGGTTATGGGGAACGCAAGCTTGTAGGAGAGCTGAAAAAAACAAAAACAAAAACAAAAACAAAAAAAAGGCATGAATAAGTGAAGTAAGTGTGCTTGTCAGAAATATATTCATTTATTTTTATACTTCCATCGTAAGAAATCAATGCTTCCAACAAAATACGAAATTTTCGATTCCTGCCAAAAACTTCTCAGCATGTAACTAAGCTAAGAGGATTACGCAAAAAGAACAGTTGTTAGATGGAACTCTAGGACAGATTCTTTCAACTTTTCCTCCTGTTTACCATTCACTCCCAGCTAAGGCAGGAAAAAAAAAAAAAAAGGGATCCCATTCACAAGATCCAGAGGCAACAGAATTTGAAGAGAACTCACCATCACTAAAAAAGTATTTGCCAGTGAGAGGGAAGATTCAAAGGGGAAAAAAAAGTCACTGTATCTGCCCAGCTCCAGCTTCGGTAAGAGGCAACCCTGGGCAGGTGGCAGACTTAGACTGAGGACAGTTCATTTTGGTAACAAAACAGTATGTTGATAGATAGGAACAGAGTTAGTTCAGCTGGAACCAGAGAATACAAATAACTGTGAATAGCTCCTACAATAAGAAATGACAGCTCTAGAGTGAAATGATACCCAAAGAAGATGGTATGCTGAAGTCACCCTGAGAAATGGCTCCTCACAGAAAGGAAGTAGAGCAGTCAGGGACAGAGAATAGACAGAACTCGGCCAGCGTGAGCAATGCGCAAAATGGCTAAGGAGAAGCCACAGACATTAAAGAAGCATTACAGATTGCCTGCTAATGAAATAATTCAATTCACTTAGAATGTGATGAAACAAATTCGAAGGATCTAGAATCTACCTGTCCAGTTATTAGAAGCTGATTTATATGGTAACAACTAAAAGGATGCGAAGTAAAAATTAAGCTTTATAGAAGTTTTTTTTTTCCTCTTTCCTTTTTTTTTTTTTCTTTTTCCTTTAAAGTGAACTCATGACCCGGAAATTGAGTCACATGTTCTTCTGATTGAAGAACGTCAGAAGGTGACCTGACTGAAGGTGCCATCCAGGCACCTCTGAAATTTTTTAAATAATGGCTTTATTGGGACGCCTGGGTGGCTCAATCGGTTAAGTGTCCAACTCTTGATTTCAGCTTAGGTCATGATCTCACGGTCATGAGATCAAGCTCCACATTGGGCTTTGTACTGGGCATGGAACCTGCTTAAGATTCTCTCTCTCCCTCTCCCTCTGCCCCTCCCCCACTCACGCTCTCTCTCTCTCAAAACATAAAAGTTTAGGGGCGCCTGGGTGGCTCAGTCAGTTGAGCATCCGACTTCGGCTCAGGTCATGATCTCGCGGTTCATGAGTTCGAGCCCCGCATCGGGCTCTGTGCTGACAGCATAGAGCCTGGAGCCTGCTTCGAATCTGTGTCTCCCTCTCTCTCTCTGCTCCTCCCCTGCTCATGCTCTGTCTCTCTCGCTCTCCTTCAAAAATAAATTTAAACACATTTAAAAAACAAAATAAAGTTTAAAATTCAGTGAATTTTTGGGGCCCCTGGGTGGCTCAGTCAGTTGAGCATCTGACTTCAGCTCAGGTCACGATCTCACAGTCTGTGAGTTCGAGCCCTGCGTCGGGCTCTGGGCTGATGGCTCAGAGCCTGAAGCCTGCTTCCGATTCTGTGTCTCCCTCTCTCTCTGCCCCTCCCCCGTTCGTGCTCTGTCTCTCTCTGTCTCTAAAATAAATAAACGTTAAAAAAAAAATTTAAGGGGCGCCTGGGTGGCGCAGTCGGTTAAGCGTCCGACTTCAGCCAGGTCACAATCTCGCGGTCCGTGAGTTCGAGCCCCGCATCAGGCTCTGGGCTGATGGCTCAGAGCCTGGAGCCTGTTTCACATTCTGTGTCTCCCTCTCTCTCTGCCCCTCCCCCGTTCATGCTCTGTCTCTCTCTGTCCCAAAAATAAATAAACGTTGAAAAAAAAAAATTAAAAAAAAAAAATTTAAAATTCAGCGAATTTTCATAATTCATGGAGTAGTGGAACAATCACCACAACTAATTTTCCTCACCCAAAAGGAAACCCCACACCCATTAACAGTCACTCCTCATTCCCCCAACACCACCCTCACAGCCCCTGGCAATCCACTAATTAATTTATTTTGTTTGTATTCTGGCTATTTCATATAATAGGAACCACACAATATGTGTTTTCTGGTGGCTGGCTCCTTTCACATAGCATCTTTTCCAGGTTCCTCCAGGCTGTAACTTGTGTCAATACCTCATTTCTTTCCGTGGGCAAATAATATTCCATTGTATGGACGTACCATGTTTTTATCCACTCATCAATCAATGGACATGGGGTGGTTATCACTTTTTGGCTATTACGAGGAATGCTGCTATCAACAGTCCTGTAAAAGTTTTTGTGAGGACGTAGGTGTTCAATTATCTCAGGTATATGCTTTAGAGCAGAGACAACATTTGAAAGTAAACCCCACTGTAAAAACAAATCAAGAAGCTATCTTTATGGATACGAAAAGATCTGATATGAAAATATAAGATGCAGATAATGTGCCTGGAATGCTATCAATTATTTTTTTTTAACGGGGTGGGGGGGGGGACTATATATCTGTATTTGCTTGTGTATGCAAAGAAAAGTAGGAGGCCAATACAAAAGAAATTAATACCCACTAATCATTACCTGTTTGATGAGAGGCTGGGAACTAAACAACCAGAATCAAGGGTAAGAAGGAAGCTTTTCACTGTATATGATTTTGTAATTTTGGAACCACTTTAATGTGCTACAATTTTTAAAAATTAAATTTGTAAAATTAAATATTTACATTTACTATAGCTCTCTCTCAAAATACTTCCCCTAACCAAAGATGGAATTCATAAAAGATTAGAATCAAATTTTTTTCTTTGAACTTTTTTTTACATTTTGTTTTATATTTCAGAGACAGACAGACAGAGCATGAGCGGGGGAGGGGCAGAGAGAGAGAGGGAGACACAGAATCCAAAGCAGGCCCCTGGCTCCGAGCCGTCAGCACAGAGCACGACGCGGGGCTCAAACCCACCAACCGCGAGATCGTGACCTGAGCCAAAGTCCGATGCTCAATCGACTGAGCCACTCAGGCGCCCCTAGAGTCCAATTCTTTCGATAAATGACAAACAGCATTGGACCGGAGATTTAAAAGCCAGGACTTTAGCACAGCCATGCCAGCTACTGTCTCTCCCACAATCTCTGAGCCTTACTTGGCTCATTCGTAAAATGGAAGTAATGACTACCTTCCTGCCAAGATCTCTGAGGTAGATGATGACACAGTAAAGCACCTAGCACAGTATCTCAAGTTGCAAATACAGGGAAATATTATCACTGTCATCTTTAGGAGAGAAAAATGAAGCCGGTAGAGAGGAGTATAAAAGAAAATAATTGGAAGTCACCATGAACCATAAATTGAGTCGCAAGCGGCAACGTTACACAGACATGTAAGAGTAAACATATGGAAACAGAAAAGCGATCCTGCTTTACTCGAAGTATTAGGTTGATGTTTAGGCTCTGTGTTTTGTCTGTTTGTTTGCCTAAAGGTTAGAACAGCAGGCGAAAAGCACAATGTTGAATGAGACATCACAGAACAGTCTCTGTGTCCCAGTGAATGACAGCTGCCCCTGGCACAGGCCCAGAGCAAGGATGCAACTCAGGGTTTTCTCGAAAGTACCAGCCACCAAATCGTGGCCCCACAGCCCGGAGAAGGGTCTGTGAAAGTGCTGGCCGGCACTTTGTTTTAGAGGAGAAAGCAGGTGTTTAAAAATAAAAGAGGTTTATGTTCGGTGAATGACATCTCAGTAAAAAATAAAGAAGAACCCATAAGAAAACAAAATCTAAATGAATATTAAATGGTTGTAAAGCATCTTTCACAGATATTAGTTGAGAACCTTCATTCTAAAAAGCTTGTAATAAAAACGTTCAAGTCTGTTAAGTATTAACAATAAGACAGACATCTGATAGTACTTCTTTGTCTAAAGGGGTCTGCAGAAGAAATTGTGAATTCAGTGAATATAGATTTTCATTAATTTTGAAGAATAACCCTCATCTGCAATAGTCTCTGAAATAGGCTTAACCCAAATGGAGCCAGGATTTTATCAGAAGGGGGAACACAGAAACTCCAATCGGGAGTCCCTTAAAAGAAGGACAGGTTTTCTGAAGAGAGGATTTCATCGCTCACCAGACCAGAAGCAGACGACCGGACTAGACATGGCTTCAAGAGGCTCTTTCTGCTCTATATCTCTATGAAGAATCCAGTCAAGAGTGGAGAGCTTTGGGAGGGCTACTTATCACCAAAGGAAAATCCACACCAACCTCAGTATCCATGTTAGTCAGAGGCAATGTTAGATGTACAAGATCAACGACTTACTAATTCCTTTTCAGTGCCAACCAAAGCTTTTAAGAAACCAGTTTATTTTAATGTACTAGGACTTAGTGCTTGCCTATAAATCTCAAACTCTGTTCTATTTACTCCCAAGTTCAGCACAAAAGATTATAAATTACCATGCCAACAACAAAAAAATCAAAGTGGAGGCAAAAGGATGTAGGCTCTACAGTTAAATAGTTAAAAATCTGGATCTCAGGGCGCCTGGGTGGCTCAGTTGGTTGAGCGTCTGACTTCGGCTCAGGTCATGATCTCACAGTTCGTGGGTTTGAGCCCCACATCAGGCTCTGTGCTGACAGCTCAGAGCCTAGGGCCTGCTTCAGATTCTGCGTCTTCCTCTCTCTCTGCCCTCTCCCCTGCTCGCCCTCCGTCTCTCTCAAAAATAAATAAACATTAAAACAAGTAAAAAAATGATTTTAAACACATTAGAATTTATAACTAGTGTCTGATATTTTTTTTTAACCCAGAAAAGCACAAAGGTAGTTTTAAATATCACATTTAATAGCCTAAGAGACAGGATCCTGTTTCCCACACACCACTAAAAAACAGTACAAGCTTACTAGATTATGTGAATCTTTAAGATGAGTGGCTGTTCTGGTATCTTACATTTTTTAATTCTCAAAAATTAGAAGTTAAAATGTGCTCAATTTCACGGTTATCAACCCTTCAGAAATGGATAGGTTAATACAGAATCACATGGTACAAGATATTTACCCTTGTTTTCATTCATCAGAAGAATTGGGCTTTTGAAGAATTGCTCTAAGGGCGCCTGAGTGGCTCAGTCGGTTAAGTGTCCAACTTCGGCTCAGGTCATGATCTCACGGCTGGTGAGTTCGAGCCCTGCGTCGGGCTCTGTACTGTCAGCTCGGAGCCTGGAGCCTGCTTCAGATTCTGTGTCTCCTTCTCTCTCTGCCCCTCCCCCACTTGTGCTCTGTCTCTCTCTCTCAAAAATAAATAAATGTAAAAAAAAAATTTTTTTTCAAGAACTGCTCTAGTTCTAAAGCAAACGTGCTAAGTCAGAGACACCCATCTAAAAAAATAAAAAAACAACATCTGTGGTTTTGTACAAAGGTCTTTTTGTGAGAGAGAGAGAGAGAAAGAGTGTGTGCATGCACACAGGTGCAATTGGAGGCGGGGCAGAGGAGGTGGGAGACAGACTCTTAAGTAGGCTCCATGCTCAGCAGAGTCCAATGTGGGGTTCAACCCCACGAGCCTGGGATTGTGACCTGAGCCAAAATCAAGAGTCAGATGCTCAACTGACTAAGCCAGCCAGGAGCCCCAGGTCTTTCTGTAATATGTAAAGATAATAAAAAGATCTGTATCCTTATCAGAAGCACACATTCCTCACTGAATAGAAATTTACTGAATGTCTATCATGTGGTAAACAAGGTGTTAGGTATTGAGGATACCAAGATATATCGGCAACATCCTAGCTTATTTAAGTATTTGGAAAATAGAGTATTCAATTAACAGCCGGCTAAAGTATTTTTGAATGCTCTTTCTACGATCAGCTGAAAAAGATAAAGCAAAAAAAAACACTGGTGTGGAAAAATACAAAAAGTTCAACAACTGTTGCAATTTCGATTTTAATGTGCTTAGAAAATAAAGGTGAAGTGTGAAAAGGGTCACGATTCTTTCCCTCGATGAGCTCACGGCATAGCTGGAGATACAAATACGTAGCCCCCTAAGTTAAGACACAGCACAAGTGAGTAATGTTGTAAGTGCTGGGGACGCAGAGGAGAGGGTAATGAATTCGGACTCCAGGAGGCTGAGAACGTTTGGCCGAGTCTTGAAGAATGAGTAGGTCAGGCAAAGCAGACAAAAGAGCATTATGTGCAAAAGCAAAGATTCAGGGAGAGACTCAGAGACATTGCATCCTGTTAAATTTATAGGTATGCTTGGAATATAAAGGCCTGGACAGGTGCAGAAGAAAAGCCATCAGTAAACCGTGGCTTACATTTTTAAAAAATGGTGATCGTAACTACGCCGAGCGTCCACAAAGCAGCACATTATCATCGGGAGAATGTTTATAGCCCTAATGGTCTTCCTTCCTCCTCCCTCTTCACCAGCTGCTGGAGACAGAGTCCAGCTGTTAGTGTTAATGAATACGATTCCCACACACCTAGGCGAATAGTCAACTGAGCACCCGTGTATTCTGGTCAGAGTGATTCTCAAAACATATCACTTATGAGCTAAAAGAACAGAACTCTTAGACATAAGTATAGCCTGCCCTGCCCCCATCCAGAATACAATTATTGTTCTGTACCAGCCAATCAGGCGGGAAAGTAAAAGGCTATTAGAAAACCTGGGCGGGGCACCTGGGTGGCTCAGTAGGTTAAGCATCTGACTTCTGCTCAGGTCATAATCTCACTGCTCGTGAGTTGGAGCCCCGTGTTGGGCTCTGTGCTGACAGCTCGGGGCCTGGAGCCTGCTTCCGATTCTGTGTCTCCTTCTCTCTCTGCACCTCCCCTGCTCACTCTCCGTCTGTCTCTCTGGCTCTCATCTCTCTCAAAAACAAATAAATATTTTAAAAATTACATATACAATTTAACTATCAGCAACAACAACACAATAAAAACATTTTTAAAAAGTAATTTAAAAAAAAAAAAAAGAAGAAGAAGAAGAAGAAAGAAAACCCAGGCCGCACTTGTATTAGAGTGGGCACGAGAACTTCCTTCCCTCTTATTTTTTTTAAATATTTTTTAATGTTTATTTATTTGAGAGAGAGAGAGAGAGAGAGAGAGAGAGAAAACACTAATGGGGAGGGGCAAAGGGGCAGGGGGACAGAGGATTCAAAGTGGGCTGTCCACTGACAGCAGTGAGCCCCATGCGGGGCTTGAACTCACAAACGTCGCAATCGTGACCTGAGCTGAAGTCGGACACTTAACTGACTGAGCCACCAGGCGCCCAAGAACTTCCTTTTCTCATTGCAAGTGAATTACCTATGTCAAGTTTTAAAGTTCTGGACAAACAATTAGGAATTCGGATTCTGCAGTATGCAGCCAATTTGCCTATGGGCTAGTTTTTGCTGTGCCCTCAAGCAAGGAATCACAGTGCCCGGATTTTTGCTGCTAGAACATGTAACAATACGTGATTCCAGGTTTCCCTGCTTTCTCTGATGAAACAACGTGTGTGGCGGTCGCCTGCATTTATATAATGTCACTCTCCACGGAGACAGAAGATGTTTCACCTGTTTTACTTCTTTAATCCTCATTCAATCCCCAGAAAATCGGTCGTTGGGAAATAATCCCACATTTTACTGAAGGCAAAAAAAATACCAAAAGAGAAAAGGTCTAACAAATGCAGGCCCAGAAGCCAGCCACTAACCAGATGTTGACAATACGTTTACGTTATCGTAACAGAGACGGTGAGATTGACAAAGCAGAATGAGGTATGCCTAGCAGGCAGGAATACGGATGGAGTGGGACAGACCCGCAGCCTTCCGACTGAAGGCCGCAGCGTGGGGGCACACACAGGAGACATCGGGAGCCATTAAGCCAAGGAAAATGGCAGAAGGTGCCACATTTTAAAAAATGAAGTCCTAGCTCTTGCAGATGCCAGAACTTCCAGGCGTTTGAGATTCCCAGCCTTGGATTGTCCCAGATGCAGCAACACGCTGTCCTTATTAAACAGTACGACAAGAAAGGAGGATTCCTTGCTCAAATGTGTTGGAGAAGCACTAGGTTAAATTGAACTAGTTCCTTTTCTGCAGGATTTCTCAGGACCTTGAACTACTCATGTAGACGGGAAATTCAAAGAGGGAAAAAAAGGGGCGCCTGGGTGGCGCAGTCGGTTAAGCGTCCGACTTCAGCCAGGTCACGATCTCACGGTCCGTGAGTTCGAGCCCCGCGTCAGGCTCTGGGCTGATGGCTCAGAGCCTGGAGCCTGTTTCCGATTCTGTGTCTCCCTCTCTCTCTGCCCCTCCCCTGTTCATGCTCTGTCTTTCTCTGTCCCAAAAATAAAAATAAACGTTGAAAAAAAAATTTAAAAAAAAAAAAAAAAAAACAAAGAGGGAAAAAAAAAAGTATACGGCACTTCCAAAATTGATTTTACCCTCCCCATTCACAGTCCAGAGGAATATACTAATAGCTACACCACTGCCTGACAGAATGGTAACGTTCAAGGTGTTCACACCCAAACAGATACTTCATCGGGATGTGAGATTACCTGCGCAAACCTAAGTCCCACACTGCCACCTTACTTAAGAGAAACAAGGCTGAACTCATTACCTTCTGGCGGTCGTCTCTGCAGGATTCCTGCTGTACTATTTCCAAAAGGTTTACAGCCAACTGCTGCCTAGAGGGACCTTCTTCGTCCGTGGACATACAGTCTTCCAAGGCAGTAGAAGACAGGATCTGCAGAAGGGGCATCACCAGCACCAAGGAGGCCTTTGGGATTTTCTGACCCTCAGCAAAAGAGACGAGCTTCAGAGCTATTCATCAAAACAACAATTCACAGTTAAGAAATTACTACCACAATCCGACAAAATGCTATCTTGTTTAAGAGTGATATGCAAAAAGTTTCCTTACCCCTTTACAATTGGGTCAGACACATAACTAAGATGACAAATCTTATCCTTTTAGAAATCAGAGGAACGTAAAAACGAACTATTATCGACAACAAGCGGTGAATGTAGGTAACTGGTAATGAAGACACTCTTAGAGAAAATACATACCACAGAGTATAAAACAACTCTTTAAGTAAATACAAATTTCTTTAAAGTACAACTCAACTGTTGCCCTTGTACGGTCAGGTCCTTCTACTGTCCTCAGCGGAGCCAGAGACCAGAGTTCCTGATCAGTGGGTTCTAAGACCAATGTGCATGCTTCCCTGACAAACCCAGGTGAGAATTATATTGAGATGCTGAAGCGGGGATGTCCTTCACTGTAACTGCTAAAAAGCTGATCAGGAAAAATCTCAAAGTCCATCACCAGCAACCAACAGACTCATTCTTATAAATGATGCTTTAAAATGGACACTCGGGGGCGCTTGGGTGGCGCAGTCGGTCAAGCGTCCGACTTCAGCCAGGTCACGATCTCGCGGTCCGGGAGTTCGAGCCCCGCGTCAGGCTCTGGGCTGATGGCTCGGAGCCTGGAGCCTGTTTCCGATTCTGTGTCTCCCTCTCTCTCTGCTCCTCCCCCGTTCATGCTCTGTCTCTCTCTGTCCCAAAAATAAATAAACGTTGGAAAAAAATAAAATAAAATAAAATAAAATGGACACTCGGCTTACACATCAGAAACACGCACGAATGGGTAACAAATTAGTTACGTGTATAATCTCCCCTAGACCATTAACATAATGAGTTAAGGCCTAAATATCTATTTCTTCACAATCATTAGATGAACACTAATTTACGGAAAGATGTCATTCATAGGATTCAGAGCTGGAGTACCAAAGTAATCATCTGAATTACCCATCGCAGCAAAAAAAAAAAAAAAAAA